TATAAAGGAAAACATTTAATTGAGGTGGTAGCTTACAGTTTTATAGGTTCAGTCCATTAGCATTAGGGTGGGGATCATGGCAGTGTGCAGGCAGACATGGTGCTGGCTCCATCTTGATCAGAAAGCAACAGGAAGTGTCTGTGACTGAGTGAGTCTTAAGCAAAAGAGACCTCAAACCCTGCCCCCCCCACCACAGTGACACACCTTCAACAAGGCCACACCTCCCAATATGACGCTCCCCTTGAGCCTATGTAGGCCAATTACAAACTACCACATTAACAAAGTTTGCTTCAAATTTCTACTGAAGCATTGTGGTAGTGTGTGGTAGAATATTATTTTAAGGAATGTGACTTTTGTTCATGCTGCATTTGTTTAACTCTGTGAAGCTGTGTTACTGTGTCTATCTAAAACAACTGGCGGTCCTAACAAACAGCTCAACAGCCAATAGTGAGGCAGGAACAAGGATAGATGGGGCTGACAGGAAGAGAGTATAAATAGAAGGAAAACAGAGGAAGGAGGGAGCAAAAAAGAGAACAAGGAGAGGAGGGCATCAGGGGTCAGCCACCCAGCCACCCAGCCACCCAGCCACCCAGCCACCCAGCCACCCAGCCAGCCATGAAGTAAGAAGGAAACTAAGAAATACAGAAATAAGAAAGATAAAACCCCAAAGGGAAAAAGGTAGATGGGTTAACTTAAGCTGGCAAGAAACAAGCCAAGCTAAGGCAAGACGTTCATAACTAAGAATAAGACTCCGTGTGTGATTTATTTGGATGCTGGGTGGCGGGTCCCTCAAAAAGGCCAAAAGAGTGAAACAATACTACAGTAGTGGTCTTATTCTCACCCAGTAGAATTAACACTACTCTGCAGAGCCTTCTGCTCCAAATCCGTACACCTTCTGATGCTGGAAAATATAATCAGTCAGAGCGGCTATGGATCCTACGGACATCCGCAGTGCCAGCCAGTGCCTGCTAGCCTGCCCCTCAGTGATGTCAAATTTACGTAGCTCCCCATGTTAAGTTCCTTTGTCCTTAAAATATCTATCATGGTCTCTCCCTCCCTCCCACATTCAACTTTGTTACAGGAGAGAAGCTGGCCCCACAAATCTCTCACCAATTACTTTTTTTTGTTTTGTTTTGTTTTGTTTTTTTCGAGACAGGGTTTCTCTGTGTAGCTTTGGAGCCTATCCTGGCACTGGCTCTGGAGACCAGGCTGGCCTCGAACTCACAGAGATCCGCCTGCCTCTACCTCCCAAGTGCTGGGATTAAAGGCGTGTGCCACCAACGCCCGGCTACTTTTTCCATTTTAATTACGTCATGTGATTATTAACTATGTTTGTTTACTTACTGTGTGAGTTTGAGTGCGCACCACAGGGCACATGTGGGGGTCAGAGGACAGTTCAAAGGAATAGATTTTCTCCTTCCATCACGTGGGTCTCTGGGGTCAAACTCAAATCCTCAGGCTTGGCAACAAGCCCCTTTACCCATTGAGCCATGTCACCCAACCTCTGTCATCAGTTCTAAGATGCACTGGGACCTGATCTAATGAAATGCGAAGGCGCCTGCTGCTTTGTCTTCCTCCTTGGAAATCCTCTCCAGGGCATTCCTACTCTTTATTCTGTTCCCCAAGTGAGGCCTCAGATCTTACACTCCCTGAGGCTTTTACCCAGGTGGACCGTCCGTCCTGCTTCATGTTTTTCTGAAGGCAAAGACAAACCTCTCTAGAAAGAGAGACTCGGAAGCTGATAGGAGCCGGTGTGGATTTGTGAATAAGGAGGTGCCCACGATGGGCACCTCTTCTCTTACTTGTATAAATGATTAACTTCACCAAACTTGCCACCTGCCCCCCCCAACACACACACCCTATCTTCATTTATCACATCTCATTTACATATGAGAGCACCTATGTAAAATTCTTGACCTGATGGATAGGAAAGGCAGACACCCCTAGACACCCCTCCTGCTCAGCCCTCTTAATTCCTCCTTCTGAGCATTGTGGGGGTCCCCTTTTCTCATCACTCCATCTCCAGAACCAAGCTACAATCAGCTGTCATTGTGTGTCCTTCATGGCTAGACTGGGGTCATATACAGACGCATGCTCACATCCAGCTGCCAAGTTACAAACTGGGAAAGGAGGCGAGCTTGGAAAACAAAAGCAAATTGTCACTTTTCTTTTTGCAACCACTTGACTGTGAGACTCAAGGGGACTCTGAGCAAAACAAAGTCCTTTTATTACCAGAGAATTGGAGAAACTTGTTGCTAAATATAGTTACTCCATGGAAATTCATTTTTTCTTTTCTTTTTTTACCCATTATCACCACCACTAGTAATCTGTCCAGATTATTTCTATATGATTTTGTAGCCAACAGGCATAGAATGGGGTCCTAGGTACCTCATCCAGTCTCTTGCAGTTCTCTGGGGCGAGGCACCATTGCTAGTCCATCTTACCATTACGGAAACTGAGCTTTAGAGATTTCTGGCCACTTGACCCAAAGCCACAGAGGCAGGATTTGAACTCGTCTATATAATACCAATAATAACTGTCTTCCTTTGTGGCAAAGGAGACATAGGGTGACAACACAAAGAAGAGAGAATGCTCCCTGATCTTCAGATGACAATCTTCTGGCCACCAAGGCAAGTGCCAAATAAGTGGCCCAATAGTGTCTCTTTCAGTGGTTTAGGGGCAGGAACATCTTGGCTGACCAGGGTTCTCTGAGAGTTCAGGGCTTGGGGTTCTACTTGGCTCATATGAACTGCTGAGTGCCCCTCTTCGTTTCCCTAAGGTATGCTCAGACCCTGACGCCCCCCCCCCAGTTTAGTAAGAAGAGCATCCCAGCTGGAAGCCCCAGAGAAAGAATGCTGTCAGAGAAAATACAGGGATAGCATTTCTCGACTTTGAAATCTGGGGACAGACTATTTTTTTTTCATTACTCTTTGAAGATTTTGAATTTCTGGAGCTTTCAGCAGAAGTGATAGAACCCAGACATGTTCTTAAGTTCGTGTGTTAAAGAGCTCTCTTAGTTTACTTCCTATTGTTGTGACCAAAAACAGCTCAGGGAGAAAAAGGTTTATTTGCCTAACACTTCCATGTCACAGTCCATCATTGCAAGAAGTCAAGCAGGAACCTGGAGGCAGGAACTGAAACAGAGACCATGGAAGAAAGAACACTGCTTACTACCTTGCTCACCCTGCTGGCTTTGGGGGGGGGCAGTTCGAGACAGGGTTTCTCTGTGTAGCTTTGGAGCCTATCCTGGCACTCGCTCTGGAGACCAGGATGGCCTCGACCTCACAGAGACCCGCCTGCCTCTGCCTCTCAAGTGCTGGGATTAAAGGTGTGCACCACCAATGCCCAGCTACCTGCTGGCTTTTTGTTTTTTTGGGTTTTTTTGTGGGGGGGGAGGGGGGTCAAGACAGGGTTTCCTCTGTGTAGCTTGGTAGACCAGGCTGGCCTCAAACTCACAGAGATCCACCTGCCTCTGCCTCCTGAGTGCTGGGATTAAAGGTGTGCACCACCACCACCTGGCTATCACCCTGCTTCCTTATACATCCCTAAAAGCTCACAGTGAGCTGGTCCCTCCCACATCAATCAATTCAGAAAATGTCCCACAGACTTGCCCACAGGCCAATCTGGGGTGGAGTGGGGCATTTTCCCACTGATATTCTCTCTTCCAAAGTGACTCTAGCTTGTGTGAAGTTGAAAAAAAAAAAAAAAAAAAGCTAACCAGGGCTGAAGGTCAAGGCCCTGGAAGAAGACTAGAATGTAGCAGGACTCCCAGGAGTCAACTGTCCAGCCCAACACTATGCTTCCTTGAAAATGAGGACAAGCTGAGAAAGAAAGAAAGAGCATGACAGTGCTGAGGAGTCTCCAGAAAGGGCCAGGTGTGTATGCCTGTTGGTGGAAGTTTCTGTTCCACAAGCTTCTCCCAAGTAACCACACAGAGGCTTTCTATTAGTTATAAATGCTCGGCCAATAGCTCAGGGTTGTTACTAGCTGATTCTTAGATGTAAATTAACTCCTATTTCTCACCGATGGTTTGCCACGTGGCTTGGTACCCTTCTCAGTGTGGCATGTGCATTTTGCTTCCCTCTGTACCTGCTCGACAGCTGCTCCTCTCTCCACCCTCTGCGTCCCAGCATTCTCAGTTTGGCTCCCCCACCTAACCTTATTCTATTCAGCGACTGGCCAGACAGCTCCTTTACTTAACCAATAGCAGCAACATATATCCGCACACGGTGTAGGAATATTCCACACGTGCTTGCCCTCTCCCACGTCAAGGGCAAGTCCCAGTGGTAGAGACGGAACGCCAAAGGGAACACATGGCTGTGTCTCGGAGAATGAGGTCACAACCTGTCTCCTGGACTCTGGGCCACTTGCTGATCTCCCAGGACTAATTCTGTAGTTTCCTAGATTGAATTATGTCCTTTTTCTCCTGACCCCCAGGACCTCAGAGGCAGAGCCTTTGAAGAGGTAGCTGAGTTAAGATGAAGCCTGGTATCTTTATATGAAGAGGAGAGCAGTGAAGGACTTAAAAATTAACAAAGAAATAAAATAAGGGGGCTTAGAAACCTCCCCCCACACACTAAAAGCAGGGCAGCCTGACTTAAAAATCTAACCAAGGCCACAATGACTTGAGTCCCTGGAATTTCCTAGCTGGCCGCAATAACTCCCTTACAAGGCCACAAGATAGCCTAACTAAACACCGAGAATTTCCAAAGGGCCACCCTCCCATGGGGTCATGAAGATAAGAACAGACTATCCCACCGGTTAATGTAGCAACAATTGACAAAAGAGAGCCCCTGAGAAACCAAAGAGATAGCTCCAATTACCGGTTGCTCAGGCAAGAACGATCAGCACATTCTGTGGGCTGTTGACCCAATTGGTGAGTCAGGAGACCATCTGGCCCCAAAGATAAGAGACCTCAAAAAGACCTGTGACTCTGGTCACGTACCCGAACCCCCTCCCCTCCCTAAAATCTTGTGGTTTCTTCCTATAAAAGAGGCCTGCTTTTGAGGAACGGGGCTTCCTTTGTGTGCCGGACTGGGAGGCCCGTTTGCACAAACATCCTGCAATAAACTTACCTCTTGTTTTTACATCAGCTGGACTGGACATTGAGTTTTTTGGGGGAAACTGTCCAATTTGTGGAGGCTCCTCGCTCTGAGGGTCTTTCAAGCAGAACAGAGACCACACGGAGGGATAGACCAGGCCGAAGCAATGGAGAAGACTCCCTTGGTAAGTCAGAGAGAGCAACCCTGCCTATAACTTGATCTTGAACTTCTGCTTCTAGTCCTGTGAGGAAATGAGTCCCCACTGTTTAAGTCACATGGCCTGGGATATTTTATAATGATCATCCTGTCAAACTAATGAACATGGGACCAAAACTCAGAGTCACAGAGCTGCTTGGGCCTGCTGTCTGTGGCCCCAGGAGCGGTTCCCTGCTGTTCTCAACTCAGCAGTCCATCTCTTCCTCACATCAATGTCTCTTAGCAACCCATTTGTGGCCCAGGTCAGGAATCCTTCTTCATTTGGGATGGAGGGAGCATCATGAAGCCAGAAATGTGAACTAAGGAAGACACGTGGTACACCTCTACTTCAGACAGTTAAACACATTAACAGAATTCCTAGGGAAACATCCAAAAGGACAGGAACGAAAGGGTTGAACTTACGCAGCACATGAGGCCTGTGGAACACATTGATGTGCTTAATCGTCGTGATCACCCCAGAAAGACCATATGACTGCTCGAGCCTCACGGGGAAGAAACAAGGAACCTTGATCGAGATTCTGGTAAGGGCATGGTGTGGTTCACAGCTCCAAGGTTCATGGATGGTCACCAATGTGGCAGTGTAAAAAACGGTGAAGGCCAGGCACAGAAGTAGATACCTTTGACCCCAGCATTTGACACCAGGGAGCTGAGACCTTAGGATCTCAAGTTCAAGGCCAGACTAGGTAACAGAGTGAGACAGTGGAAAGAGAAGGAGAGAGCAAGAGAGAACATTTTAAGCAGCGTCTCTAGTGGTGGGCCCTTGGGTTGTTGGGCACTGTCCTTTGAAACAACTGGTGAGGTTCTCATTCTTCCCATGTTTCTACCATCAGGACATGGTTGGTCATGAGTTGAGGTGGTTTTGGCACCCTTGCTAATGCCATGCTGCTAGCCCTGTTAGCCTCCTGGATAGAGAGCTAAATGAGCTTCGTTTCTGTTCCAGTTACCCAGCTGTAGGTATTCCATTAGAAGAACAGAAAACGGACCAGCACGGCTAGTTAGTGACAGAGTAGGGTTTTTATAGCCTCAACTGCGTTTCTCTACATGGCGTTAACACCGCCTCCTTAGACTGGATAAGTGGCATTTCCCCCTCTTTGTGCACAAATGTCCCTTGCCCAACGCCTCGGGAGAGAATGAACAATCAGCAAGTTGATAAAGTGTACTCAATTCACACAAACAAGCCAATTGTTATTTTGCCTCTCACAGGTGTGGCTTGATTGCAGACCATTAGTGACCATTAATAAAAGAAACCTGGGCTGCAATTGACAAGTAGGTTTGCATTTCCCGAGGCTTGCATTTCACACCAGGGAGCTGAGCTCAGCCAATATTTTCACACTCTAACACCTGCAACAGACACATAAAGCATGATTTAACGAAGATAACATTTTTTCCACTGGCAGTTTAAATATAAACCCAAGGATAATTTGTGAATTTGATCATTGTATCCCATGATCACCGCTGGCCCTAGCTCATCACCGAGTAAGCCCCAAAGGTCTTGAAAACCCATTGAGCTTCCTAGGGAGGTTCTGGACGTATTGCAGAACCCTGTGGGGCCTCCCCTGGTTCACCCTGAAGTTCACTCATTCACTATTAAATGGACGTTGTCTGAGTACCAGTATGGCCCTTACCCTCAGGCTCTCGGGGTAGGGATGAACATGAGCTGACAGTTACAGAGTAGGGAATGGCTGCATCGTGAAGGGACTGATGCTCCATATTCCTGTTTCCAGCAATAGGGGAAGCTATTGGAAAGGAATTCCAGCTCCTTTCCCACAAACCTCTCTCAGAAAGAACTCGACAATGGGACAATGTCTCTCTCTCTCTCTCTCTCTCTCTCTCTCTCTCTCTCTCTCTCTCTC